GTTACCTTTTATTGAAATGAATATGTAAAAAGTTTATGGATTGCTTCATATCTGTGGTATGGCTTTTGGGACTAGCAGTTGTTTTGTGTTGCCTTTTTGCTTCACAGCTCTTAGTGGGTATTTCCCCCCTTACGTTTGGTATTCAGTTGATAAAAGCAAAAACAATTTAAAACTCCTTCTCTTTCTTGAACCAGAAAATATCAAGAGCAAAAGCCTTAAGCTTATATAGATCTTATACAGCATCTGACCAAAGGCATTTTGAGCATGCACACACTCTCCCAGGAGATGCCAAACTAAAGAAAGAAGGAAGGAAGAAAGAAGAGAAGGAAAGAAATCACAACTGATAAGGATACAAGACAGTCCCAAAAGTGAGAGGTAGATTTCTTTCAGGGTGTGAAAATATTACAGACACAGTTATAGAAAGGGGGCACAGCAGCTTTAATATGCACATTCAGCTAAGCCCCTAAGTGTTATTCTAATAAGCAGATCCTGCATTTAGAGCCCGAAGAGATAAGGAGATATAGCGGCATATATCCTTGGGCACGATCTCCTTTAAAGGCCTGTCATAGAGACATATAGAAATACTAGTCTTATACAAAAAATAAACACATTAATATAACCTACCATAAGATCAAACATCTTTATGGCACCCACACTTTCCAAACTTTCCTCTTTGCTACCGCTCATGGCGTTTCAATCAGAATTCTATCAAACATGATAATCCTTCAGTAGTTTTTGCATTAATTTTTCTTTGCTTCGTATAACAAAACAGGGGCAGCATTATTCCACTCCACAGGCCCAGACACATTAAGTCTTCCAATCACTGCATAAGATTAAATGGCATGTATATATTAACATTTGTGCAGTTATACCAGCATTTGTGCAGTTATACACCTGAATCTTTAGCATATTTTTAACATTCTCACATTTATGCAGGTCTATGACCGTGCTTCCACTCTATTTCATTTGAACATTCTCATGCCTATTATTATTTTGTCAGTGTCAGAAAATTTCTCCTTAGTTCTGGGTTTAATTTAATATGCCTTATTTCTGTCCTGCCTCCTCTTGCTTTACAGAAAAAGTCAATCACTTCTTCCCTGTGATAACCCCTCAAATATTGGAAGACAGGTACAGTGGTGGGATTCATTTTTTTTTTACTGCTGGTTCTGTGGGCGTGGCTTGGTGGGCGTGGCAGGGGAAGGATACTGTAAAATCTCCAGTCAGAGGTGGTATTTGCCGGTTCTCCAAACTACTCAAAATTTCCACTACCAGTTCTCCAGAACTGGTCAGAACCTGCTGAATACCACCTCTGGACAGGTATCATGTCCCCCCAATCCTTCTCTTCAATAGGCTAGACATTCCTTCCTTCCTTAACCATTCATCATACAATTTAGACTTCCAGACCTTTTTACCATCTTCGTTGCTCTTCTCTGCACACATAGGTCTCAGTGCCTTTTTTGTATG